GGGGGGGTAAAATGGGAAGCAAATGATGTGTCCCCACTTTAATGTAGGGAGGAGGTAATGCAGGTTTTGCATCAATTCCAGGGATACAAATTTTGTATTCCCAACATGTGAAAATAAGATAAGTAAATGCATGTGAATTTGAACCAGGTGCAAATTTTGCATCCCGTTTTTATTTCCACAGCAAACAAATGAAGAATAAGGAGAGTAAGCTAAGAAAATAAAAATGATGATAAAGGATTGCTGGTTTAGTTTGTTCTTTTCCTTTTTTTTATTTAATTTAAAATAGGATTAGGTACTAGCGTAATAAAAGCTTATAAAATGTCGAATTTTTTTCTTAATTAGTAAATACTTATAAAACGCCCTTAATGGAGTAAGTTTAACCCTTTGACCTACTCTTATATATGTTTTCTAAGGAGTTGATGAAGATGTTGCTCGTTTTTCAAATCCCTGACATGTGCATCTTACGATCAACCAAATGTCCTCGTGTTCTAAAACAAAACATGTGGGCTTTTTAAAAGAAGAGGCAAAAGAAAAAGATTTCTCCGGCACACTTGGGCCCATGTTCAAATTGGGCTTTCCAGGTCATTGATTATCATGCTATGGAGGCCTATATCCAAAGCCCATATTGCCCCTACTAATTAATTAAGTAAACAAAGTAAGAGTTGTATAATATGTATTTATTTTTCATAATCAAAATCCATCTACAGTTGAAAACTTATCACTAAAAGGATGAAGCAATAAGTTTTTTTATTTCTACCCTTCAGCCATTGTCAAACAGTTCCTAAAGGCGAGCAAAACAGGGTCTTCTGACATGGGATCTCTTTGAAGTTTGAGCCGAGCAAAACAATTGACTAACAAATTTAATAGCTAAACCACATTAGAAGACTAATGTTGCAAAAAGCTTGAGTTAAATTGGAAGGATTTGCAGCTCTCGATCGGTAGCCTGAAATTGTCTCCGTTTACTCAAGGCCATAAAAATACTTCACCAGTGTTTTTGAACCATTGTTGATCCAGACAGTTGGATCGTTCAGCCTAAGAGACGTTTAGGTAACTGGTTCTGTTTTGCTTTTAATCTATTCTGTGGCCAGGTTAGCGATTTATTGACCCGGATGATCAAACCATTGACTCATTCAATTCAAACAATGTTTTTGGCCATTTTTTATTTAAAACGGGCTGTCCAGTCAAACCACTGACCCAAAAACCGGTGGCCAAAGAGATTCCGGTTCCACATTTGGTTTTTAAAACATTGCACTTCACTGCTCAATCCTGAGTTGCATGGTGAATCTCAGGTGCTGGTAGGGGATCCAAAATTGAGGAATTCAATATAGAGAGAAGAGTGGTGGGCTTTTCAGTTTTTGAAGTTAAACTCTACCTCAAAACAAAGTACAAGGTTGGTGGAGCGCTGAAGTCCAATATGAACGACGCTTTAGTAGCTGTTATAGTACAATTGGTTAATTTTATTTGTTATTTACTCTTTAGATTTAGGGGACCAAGTTTTAGTTTATTTTGGAGGATTTTTTTTTTGTTCTTTTGTTTTGACTCTTCTTCTTGATAATCTATTAAAGGTTATTTTCAACGAAAAATAAATTATTTGTTCAATGTTTCTAATGAAGATCAATATTCCAAAAGTTGGTTCAAGCTACGGGTTAGAGTAAGAATTCTTATCCGTTGGGGTACTAGTAATTATGCAAGCATGCATGCGATAACTAAAAATTTAATATATATGATTAAAATAACTAAAAATTCAACACTAAAGAGAAGATATTACATCAAAAGAATAACATAATATGAATAGAGGTCTTAAATATTAAGCGTTTAGCAATTGGGCTTGCACCCCTTATTGCGAAAATAAATAAAATAAAAAAAAAAGGAAAAGGTCTTAGCATTGCCTTTAACCTGAACAAGTTGCCCAACTTTGATATTTAAAGAAATTTCTAAGGGAGGGCTTCCTATTTCCTATTGATGTTTGCATTATATTCATACGACCAACAACTAAATTCCCATTAAGTAAAACAACGAAAAGATGTTAAATAAGACTTAAGAAATTTTAAACAAAAAACATGAACAATATTTTATTAAAAATAACAATGTAAAATAAAATCAGCATAAATTTGACAAACATAAATAAAAGTGTTTGATTTTGAGCTTTGGCCTGAAAAACAAAATTGATCCAAAAAATTTAATGTTTTGAGCATTAAAAGTTACTTTTGAAAAGCATCACATTCTAAAGTCAAAACACTTTTTAAGCCCCAAAGCACAAAGTCTAACATTTTAAGCTTTAAAAGTAAAATTCCTAATGCTATATCAATGATGGAGGGAAAATTAGAAAAAGTAACAACAAATAAATGAATAATCACACTAAGACAGCTAAAGGTGAAGAAGCTTCACCAAACAATGTAATTTATAGGCAACCAATGTTATCTCCCAAAGCATTGCTCGAATTCATCCATCTTTGCAAATGTTTTGTTAATTATCCTTTCAAAATGATATCTAAGAAAATTTAGATGGAATTTCTTCCGATTACATAAGAGCAAGTTTGAATTCTTTAGGAATTGGTCCATTTGACAATATTCTAATGTTACATTTTTCATTAGAGAGCTTCTGCCCCTAAAATCTTAAAATTTTTCTCTTACACGAAACTTTCCCCCCACCAGTGATACATTGTTCTACTACTTCTGTCACCCTAAAACACAACCACAAGCTCATCAAGTCAGGTGTCCAATAGATGAGATGGAAAAGCTTTGCAATTCAAAAACAATGCTGCTGGGGAAGAAATTGGAGGTGCAGACCACACTTCTCCCTATCTTCTATCTTTATTCTTTAATGTTAGAGCCTATATGAATGGACCTGGCTTTGGGGTTGTTTCAAGTTGGCAAGTGGTTCAAGGGGTACACCGGCTTTAAGTTGGTTCCTCTGAAGCAGAATCAAAAAATAATAATAAAAATAAGAGTATTGATACAGGTTGATACACCCTACCGGCATATCGCTCTATATTGATACTTTGAACCTTCATTGAAACCAAACAAGCATTGAAAAATAAAATAATAATTTAATGCTTACTGCACATATTATTGACTTTTTCAGGGATTCACAAAAGATAACTACTTAACAAATCAGAAATCAGAGGGTAGAGTTCCCATAAACACCCCACTGACTTCTCCTCCATTAATTAGATGCTTGCCATTTCAAACATAACTAATATTAAGCAATATTATCCAGAATTAAATGTTCAAGGCTGAAGCTCGCCTTCCCTTGAGGAGAATGGGTTGACAAATGGTTTCATTTATTTGTTTTCTTCTTATTAAAATCTCTGGTGGTAGGAAATTTAGGAATATGGCAAGTTCAGATTCATCATTTCTTACTTTGAATCCATTCAAACTCTTCTTACTTCAAGTCGCATGATGGCTGATGTGGGGCGGTATAATTCGTAAAATAGCCCGCCCCGCAACACAGCCATTAAATGAACGTTTGGCTAAAATCATGAACCACACAGCCTTTCATGTATGTACTGCTGCTTCTGTTGAGGTAAAATCGTGAAACCATGGCTTTTAATGTTATTGTGTGATACTACTTTAATATCACTTCATCCAATTCAACATCAGACCACAACACGTCAAGGGTCTTAATTCACTGTTTTAGGGCTAAAGCGGTGGGCTAGCTCCCCACAGGTGTCTCACAGCCCATTCTTCCCGAGATCAGATTGGTGCCTCACAATTAGAGGGCACTCTACATCATCTCCCACCCATGTATTGATAACATCTTCCATGATAAGTACAGGAAGTGTTTCTAATGCACACTGAGATATCGATCGATGTACATGTGGGGTGCTTGTGGGGCACCCAGTGTGGGGTGCCAATCTAATTTCATCTCTCCCATGAATTGGGAACATCTCCTTATGACAAACTTAGAAGATGTTCCTAATGCACAAGGGGGAAGAGTGTGGGACACGCTCTGTGGGTTCTCAGCTGTGGCCTCAAGTTCATCTAATTCAAGATGAGGCCACAGCAATACAAGAGAGGCCGTTCACGGTTTTAGCCCTAGGCCAAAACTCCTTTGCTACAAGTTTCTCTTTTGGCCTCAGGAAATATTGACGGCAATACAACTTGTTTGTTGGATCATGTATATAAATATAAATCACTTCTTCTCCCTCCCTATTATACCATCTCTTCCTCTTCCTCTCTGTTCGAATTTGAGAATGAAAGGTTGGAAGGATTGGAAGCCTTTTCTATTCATCTGTGTAATGATCATCATTGGTTTAGGGTTCATATTCTGGATTAGTTACTTCATATTCTGGCTACTTGTTCATCCAAAGAAGGTAGAATGCCATGTTGTTAATGCTTCCTTCGTTGAATTCAATCAGTCAACTGATGGGATGCTTCATTACAATCTGGCGCTTAACATGTCTCTGAGGAACCCAAACAACAAGCTTGGTATCTACTACTCTCAGATTGAGGGGAATGCCTACTTTCACAAACTATTGATCGGTAACGTGACACTGATACCTTTTCATCAAGGCCACAACAACACTTCTATTCTGAATCCTGTCTTCAAAGGTGAATCACCGGCATTGCAGGATACCTCCCAACTTGATAATTTCAATGCAGAAAAGACTGCTGGCATTTTCCAAGTTGAAGTTGAGCTACTACTACGAACAAAGTACAGGGTTGGATTCTTGAGTTTTTCTGGCTATGACCCGGAGATTAAATGCGAATTGGGGGTTCCTTTGGTTTCAAAACTCAACTTAACCAAAAGGTTTCCAACTACTAAATGCAATGTTGTAATCCAATATGGGAACTGAAACAAAATATTTACTTGTTAGATTAATGTGGTACTTAATTGTGGAAAAGATTTTAATTAGTTAACTTATTTCAATAATTAATTCGAGTTTGTACTATATTTGCACCACTTCAGAAAGTTGTAATTATTTGGGCAAGCAGCAATTTTGTTTTTATGTAATATTTAATAAAAAAAAAAAAAAAAAGCTTTTAAGATGTGTTTGGTTGCAATGCGAATTTCATTTGCACTGGTGTAAGTGCATAAGAGTACAAATAGACCAAATATATTCTGGTTTACTTCTGCTTCAAATTTGACTTTGTCTTGTTTGATTGCACAAGTACAAAAGAAAAGAAATAAAATGAAGCGACCTCTGCTTTTAAGTGAAAGGGAATGAAGGTAGGGGGAGGGTTATATGTCTAGGATGTAAGATGATGCAAGGGGAAGGTAGTGCAAATTTTTTGGGATGCAAAATTTACTCTTCCAACTAGTAGTGTAAAAGAGACAAAAAGTATTAAACTTTGTAAAGTAGGAAAGCAAATCATAATTACAAACAAAAGCAAACCTGAACGAAATATGAATTTTACATCCAAACAAGATTTGCAGTGCAACCATATGCAAATGCAGCCTTAATAAGTACCAAATTTTAATGTCAAAATGGGAGTGGATTTGCTGGCTGGTTTATTTATCCGGCTTCTTTTAAGAACCTAGAAGTTTTACATATGACAAATTAGTATGGAAAAACTGTTGGCCCAAAGGTTTTGTTCATTGAACCAAAAAAAAAAATCCCTTTCACAACTTCGCAGGCTATTATTAATGGTCAATTACCCCTTAAAAAAACAGGGTTTTGGCGACATTAGACAAATGTCACCAAAATCGTTACAAACGTCGTCGAAAGCTTTTAGTGACATTTGCGCAAATGTTGTGTTGTGTCTATAAAAATCTGGAAAGGTTTGGGTGACATTTACGGGAACTTTTAGTGACGTTTGCAAATGTCACTGAAATTAATTCACGTCTCCTTCAGTGCATTTTCGGTGACGTTTGTAAATGTCGCCAAAAGTTGTCATTATTTGACGATGTTTAAAATTGTCAACCTTTCGCAACGTTTGTAAACATCTCCAAATAGTGACAATTTTTGGCAACGTTTACAAATATCACCAAAAGTTGACAAATTTTTTTTTCTGGTCACCTTTGGTGAACGTCGCCAAATGATGACAACTTTTACAAACGTCACCAAAAGTGCGCCCGAAAGAGGCGTGAACTAATTTCAGTGACATTTGGAAATGTCATTAAAAATTCCTGTAAACGTCACTGAAACCTTTCACGAGGCCTAAAATAGGCAATATAAGACTGAAGGTGTTTCAAAAGATCCCTACAATAGAACAACCGCCATGGGGTACACAGATGGTCGTCCAACAGAGAATTTACAACCTTTTGAGCATCTCTTTCGATCCATATATGAGAGAGCTTTAAATCCTTGGTCATTTGGATACCAGAGTCATCTAAGGGAACATTCATGGCTCTTCCAAATAAGAATTCTCCTTTGTGGTTCCGTATTATGATACCCAGACCAGACTGATGAGAATGATTGTGAGCACCGTAATCTTTATGAAGGGTGGAAGAGGAGGACACCAAGAAACATTTGGGGAACCCACCACAGGGATCGATGTTTGTATTGAGGCATTATTTTGTTTAAGTGAGATCAACTCTTCAATTTGAGCATTAGAAGTAGCAATAATCGAAGAGGGCCTGAAAGGTGAATTTTCCAAAGCAACTTTACCTCTTGCCTTCCAACACTGCCAAAGAATAATAGAAAACTTGTTGAATAAGCTCAAGTCCCTAGTTGGCGTCTCTTTAATTCTTTTTCAGGCCATTTCTCGACTCAAAGAGCTAAACACGAACTGAACCAGATAGGTTGGACAACTGGACAATGGAAGAGGAGGACACCAAGTAAGCTTCATAGTGTGGCAACTCTATTTTTGTAGAAGCTCCAAGTAAGTTTCAAGGGCTCCTCCGTCTATGGACATGTTTACTAAAATATATAAATAGATGACTTTGCAAAATTAATTCTTTGGCCAGAAACCAAACCAAAATTATGCAAGATATTTTTAACATGAGAAGCTTCAAGGGTAGAGCACTTCCCAACAATGAGAATGTCATCCACAAAGAAAAGATGGCTTAGCTTTGGACAATTTCTTGCAAGTTTGAACCCCTGCAGGATACTAATATCTAAATTGTGCAATAAGGTTCTTGAGAGAAGGTCCATATATAAGATGAACAAATATGGGGAGAGAGGACAACCCTGCCTTAGGCCCCTTTCGGGTTTGAAGGAGCTTCCAACCTTACCATTCAGAAGGATAGAATAGGTAGTAGAGGTGATGCAAGCACGAATTAAGGAGACAAATTATGGAGAGAAGCTACCTGTCTTTCCTTTTTGTTTTTGCATAGTGTGAATGATCTCTGAGGCCAGAACTCTATTGTCATGAATTTGTTTTCCCAGGGATAAAGCATTTTGGAATGGTGTAATAAGAGAGTCCATAATGTGTTTCAGCCTAGAAGCAATGATCTTAGTAATTAACATTCGTCAACCCAATAGGTCTAAGATCAGTCACAAGCTCAACATTAGTCTTTTTGGGAATGAGAACTAGATTTGTATCATTGACTTCAGCTATTAAAGTGGATGAGATCAATTCCCACTGTGTCCCAACAAGATTGGAAGAAGAGAGCATGGACTCCATCACTACCCGGAGCTTTGAGCGGACCGATTGAGAATAAAGCATCTTTCACTTCCTCATAAGAGGGAATAGAGCAAAGAATTTGATTCATTTCTTCTGTGATTTGAGAAGGTATGAGATGAGCACCAAAATTACTGAAGTCCGGTTCCCATTGCCATCTTTAAGCCATCCAATATGATTATTTCGTTTTCTATTTATAAGAAAAATACTAAAAACAATGAGAATGGAATGACTCAGTCAATGATGATTGGTCTCTTGAATCATTTAAATAGAGAAGTTACAAGAGGATAACTATGTACAGAAAATAACAATTACAGAGTTAGAGTTTATCTAGGAAAATACATGATTATGAGATAAGGTGATCAGTTATCTAGGATAGCTATCAGAGATACCCATCCCAGTTACAAGTTTATCATAATTATTGAGATACTCTAACACTATTTGTTGTCACTAGATGGAAAAACTTAGTCTGCCTATCACCACTTTGAAGCCATTCGATTCTTGCTCTCTGCTTCCAATAAACTTCCCGAATTTCCAGAAGGTGATCAAGTTCTTTACGGAGTCTTGTTTCCTCCTTGACATCATGCAGCAGGATACTAGAAAGAGCTTTCTCGATTTCAGCAATCTACTTATGAAAATTGCCTATTTTATTCCTGGCCCAACTAGAAAGAGAGTCATTAACGGCTGAAACTTTACTGCTTAAGTTACCACTACAAGAATTCCAGAGCTGTTGGATAGTTGGTTTAAAGTCCTCAAGTTTAGTCCAAAGGGATTCAAATCTGGTAAATTTACTAAAGGTGCTCTTATACGGTTTATGATCACTTCGGCCTGCTGTTAAGTGCTTAAGATGAGAAAATGGGAAACTATTAAGCCAATCAGCTGACACCAGTGCACGGTCCAGATGCTCTAAGATTAAACCCAAATGGATCAGCCCGCAATCCTCTATAAGTTGGTTGAAAAGCTGAATATGTCTTCCATCCAGCCGCCTACCATCGGATTTTTCACTGTCATTTGCTATTGCATTGAGATCACCCATAAGGCACCAAGGGTGTGATATTTGATTGAAGATAGCCCTGACTTCATTCCAAACTTCCTCTCTATTCTCTTTATGAGGATGCCCATACACTTCAACAAACTCCCAAGGGATATGAGAAGGAAAGTTCAAGGTACTGGCATGGATAACATTCTTTAAAGAGTAAAGAATATTAAGATTAATACTCTTGTACCACCCAATAATCCAAAGACCTCCGGAACTGCCTTCTGCTTCCACCAAAAAGAAATTGTAGTGACAAAGATTAGAAAGAATTCTTATTGAGACTTTTCATGATTACACCAGGTTTCTGAAATGAAGAAGACGTCTGGTTTAAACTTTAATTTCTGAGGAGATGATGAAAGTGCCGAACTACAGAGGTGCTCTCCTCACCCTTGTAGTTCCAAGATAAAATAGTCATTGTTCTTGTGGTGGCAACTTTTGGCTTGCCACCTCAACCATTCCTTTGGCTCAGCTTGGAATGAGTACAAATGCAAATTTGTAGAGTGTAAAACCTTGTAATTTGTATTTTTTGCATTGTATATATTTGTATTTGTACTCCTTCCAAACTGGGTCTTTAGAACAATCAGTGGATAGAGTGTCCAATAGTTGCCTCATACTCAAGCCTAGACTGGGCCTAAGGCTAAGCCCAATCTTTCCAACCCAGACCCAATCCAAAAAAACTGAAGCCTTAGACCTAAATCTAGCTTGAAGACCAAAATCAAAGTCCAACCCATGTAAAATTTCAGGTTAGATTGGTCTAGACTTGGGTTGGGCACACTCAAGTTGCACACCTAGGTATTCTTTTTCTTCGTTTTCGTCCTTGATGTTTCAAGACCTTCAGACTTTATTTTTCATGTACATACTATGAGCTGAAGCCCACCCATTAAAATGCCCATAAGCTTTCTAATAATCGATATCATCATTAAACATTTAGGCTGTATTTAAAGGAAGAAGCAGGAAAAGGAAGAGAAAGGTGGGGAAACCTTTATAAATCTTGTATAGGTTTTCCTACCTTTTCCTTCAAACCAAACATAGCCTTAATGAAAAAATTGAAATGTCTACTTTACCCTTTATTATTCTTTAAAATTTTAAATATATACCATGCCTTTCAAAGTTTACAAACGCTGAAGTTTTGACAATCTTCATAATGTTTGATTTCTTTTTTGGGTTGTTTCTCGAATTTTGGTGTATTAAATTTTCACGTCATCTTTACGGGTTATTTCTCTGAGAAAAGATGCTGGAAGGAGAGAATGGTTT